AAATCAGGTACTGAATGTGGTACAAAATGTTAGGACTTAGCCATAAAAAAGGCGAAACAGCTGTAGGTTATACTGACCAAAATTAATTTTGAATTATCTAACGAAGCTATGCAAATAAGGCAAATTGTTATTAGGGTTTTGTAAACAACTAATTTTATTCATTTTAAAAATACTAAAATCATTTTAACTGGGTCCATTGATAACTGATGAGCATACATGAATATATGTATATATACATATGTATGGATGATATAGTAGTTCTGATCCAATACTTTTCGTGTAAAATCCTGTAAAAATGTCAAACAGCAAATTTACCTTCTGAAGTGAGAGTAAAAAGTGAGTAACAGCAAAAAGTACGGGAACAAAAAAAGCATCGGGTAAAATCCTGCAACTTCATTCTCTAAAAAACTCTCCAAAAATCGCTCTCTTTTAGGGAACAAAGGGAAGACGATAGTAAGAGGAAATGCCGAACAAATGAATTTAGCTTCCCATTTTGCAAACAAGAGATAGTATGTTATATAAATTAACGACTTTACCGTAAACCGAGCGACAGATGAAGCAGAACCGCAGATAAAATTTCTAAGAGAAAAACTAAATTTAGGAATATACATATACAAAGAGAAATGCTCAAACTACAGGCTCAAAAACAGTAATTAATGCGGTGTTTTCAAGATACTTCAACGCCCTTGAGTCACAAGTACATACAAGTACCATATTTTATTAATAATACCGATTAATTATTGTTAATTAAAACAATTAAAAATTAAAATGAATAAAAAAAAATTTAAATCAGCAAAATAATAAAAATGAAGTGAAATTAATGTTTAATTTTTAACCTAACCTACATTTGTATGTATGTATGTACTAAACAGCTGCACAAGCACTACATAAATCGCTTGCAAGCCATCAGCTCTCAAGTTCTGACCACATTGAAAACGACGAGCTACGGACCACAGCTTCCAATTTGTCATCTTCATTATCTAAACGCTTTGTCGATGGCGACATGATTTCTTTGAACGCGGCAGCGACATCATGCATTTGTATGAGTTTGACATAAAAGAAGAGGAAGAACCTTATCTGTCGCCAGAAAAATAGAAATAGATCTAATCTGGCCACAACCACAGCCGTCGCGTAGCCCGGTGGTCGCCAAAATAATTATCTACATAAGAGGACGTGTTAAAATAATTTGACAGCTGTGGTTTGTAGCTCGTCGTGTTCATTGTGTTCGGGCTATCATTTTAAGCACTGCACCTCTCCTTCACTCCCATAACAAAGCAACTGCTACACTCACGAAAGGTTTTGTCATACGAACGAATGCCGCACGATAGGAAAAAGAACAACAGAACAAAGCTGAAGTAGAACCAAACTGAAGCAGAAGCAAATTGAAGTAGAGCCAGCGTTGCCGTTTTTAATGTCATTTGGACGTTTTTTGTACCCTGTTGACGTTTGGACGTTTTTTGTGTAAAAAATGACGTTTTTTAACTTCCCAGTAATTTTTCTTTGTTACTAAATCTTATAAGTAGAACTGATTTTGAATTATTTTCTTAATAAATCTTTACAATCTTTGTGTTTTGCTGCAGCTGCTTCCTCCAAAGGTTTTTTTTTGGATTCTAGGACTAAGGATCCCTTGTTCAAAGGCTGGTTGTGTAAACACTTGAGTTACGAGGCTTGCTGTAATGATGCAATTGCACATTAAAGGCCAAATCAGGTAGAGTCGATCTAATGCACCAGGCACGCTCGCAAAAGCATCAAAAAAGCTGTGCAGCATAAAACGTCAGAAAAATGTAGGCGACTTTTTTAAGACTTCATTGAAAATGTACTGAACGCAAAAAAGACTGAAATATTATGTCCATTCAATAACTTTTCCAGTAAGTACTTGCAGCGAGAGCGTAAAAGAAAAATAGAGAGTAAAATTGAGAGCAAGAGAAAATTTTCAGAAAAAGTTATTGAACGCAAAACTATTAAAACTTGCAACTTAAGCCATTTTAACACTTTCTGACGGTTAAGTTTTGGCGCGCAATTTTCTTTTTAATTGGGAATAGTTCATAAGTCATAAAAGTAAAAATATATACAATGGCCCGTAGTCATAGTCAAAATAAAGTCGACTTTAAAGTTAGTTGCAGCTTTTTTGACAGATATCCCATTGAAAATTATGTCAAAAAGCTGCAACTAACTTTAAAGTCGACTTTATTTTGACTATGACTACGGGCCATTAGATTTAAACTTTTTATCCATATTTTCATTTCACTAATTATGTTTCATCAAATCATCCTCTTAAACAGTTTGTTTACATTTGAGTTTGAAACATAACCTTACTTTTGGACTCTTGCAAAATCCTGCTTGTAAAATTTTTACTTGCAAGAATTTGCAGCTCTCTCGCGTTATTACGCTCTCGAATTCGCTCCCTCTTGCAAATATTTTGGGTAATTGAATGCATTTTTGACCAATTGCTATGCTCCTTCTTAGCAGAACGTAATTTATCATTTTCGACAACCGAGCCCCTAACCAAATTTCTACAAGAAAAAAAAAACTATTAAAAAACAACGCGATTATTTAGCCCCTTTAAACTTACACATTTTTTGACCTGAAATTTAATGGACCAAAAAATCTGAATGGAAAGTTGAAAATCTAGCTGAAAATTTGCAGATTATTTATAATTTTGCAAAATTTTTGTGGATTTATATTTTGTTTGTTAATGAGCTTGGCTTTTATGGAAAAATAATAAACATTAAATAAACGAAAGAGAAAAAGCCAAAATCGATCAAAATGTTGATGACTTAATCAGCTGATCACAAGTGTATGTATAAAATGATTTTTATATTAACGATCTCAAACCAGTTTACAATGAATTTTAAATGTGCTCTATCGAAATTATATTTTAATATAACTTACGTAGATATCGAGCCCTAACCGCCAAAATAACGTAAGCGACATTTTTTTAATTTGCTTTTTAATGCAGAAATGTAACTAGATGCTCTAGGAATATTTCTGCATCAAAAAGAAAATTTTGAAAAAAATGAAGTGTGATATGTTTCCTTTTTTACCACGCTTTTTTATACCCGAGCGCACTTGTGCACAAGGGTATTATAACTTTGTTCACATAACGGTTGTTTGTAACAGGCAAAATGAATCGAGATAGATATAGACAAATGTATACATAAATGATCAGAATGAAAAGAGAAATCGATTAAGCGGTGACTGTCTGTCCGTCCGTCCGTCCGTCTGTGCACACGATAACTCGAGTAAAAATTGAGATGTCTTAACGAAACTTGGTACGTGCACTTCTTTCCGACGTAGGACGGATGGTATTGAGAATGGGCAAAATTGGACAATAACCACGCCTACCTCCCATATAACGGTAATGTTCAGAAATACGAAAACGGCGATATTTTAGTAACTACTGAAGATTATTCACTCAGAATTGATATTTACAATAAGTTTTAGCTGAAAAATAAGAATATTATAAATTTTTGGAAAATGGGCGCAGCCACGCCCACTTATGGTTACATGTGTTTATCTTGGTAACCGCTGCACCAATTTCTTCCAAACTTGGCATAGCTGTGGGCCTTGATATAACCTACGAAATCGCTGAAAGTATTTAAAATCGAACAATAACCACGCCCACATCCCATATAACGGTAATTTAGAGAAATAAGAAATCTTCGATAAATCAGTAATATTAAAGCTAATTTATTCAAAATTGATGATTGAAACAATTCTTTATTAAGAAATACGTTTATGATAAAATTTAGAAAAATGGGCGTGGCACCGCTCACTTATGGTCATATATATATATCTCGGTAACCGTTCTACCAATTTATACTAAACTCGGTGTGGTTATTGTACTTGCCACATAGAAGCAAAACGCTGAAAATTATTGAAATCGGACTAAAATTACGGCCGCTTTTCATATAACAGTAAATTTCAGAAATGCTTGAAACTTCAATATTTCGAAATTTAAGGACCCTAATTTACTCAAAATGGATACGCCCCGGTTTATCATGTAGCGGTAGCTTTGGAAAGGTGAAAAACATATATTTAATACTTGCGCCGGGTATTTAATGTTCGGCTCCGCCCGAACTTAGACTTTCTTACTTGTTTGTCTTGTTTTTGGCTTAGCATCTGCGATATACATATATACATATATACAAGTTAAGTTATTATATTAAATAACGGATTTTTAAAAAAGTGTGTGGACTCGCGTTCACCACGTCTTTATTAATTGAGTCTAAACTTAGAACTAAATACAATTGGTTTCTTAACATTAAATTAAACCTACTATCGGCCATCAGTCACGTTGCACTTGCATATGCACTATTTCCGAATATTGCCCATTCGTTGTTGTGCCAATTATTATTGCCGATCGAATAACAAATTGGTTAATGCGGTGTCAGCAATTGTGCGGATGCGCGTGTGGAGTTGCTGACCGTTGCACTATGGTTTAAATGCCCATGTTCTGCGGCCAAAAGTCAATTTTTTTAGTTTCGAATTTTTGTGAAATTATATTTTCTCTGAATAGTGAATACACCCTGTATTGCGAATACATACTTTTTTTTGCTCTCTGGCAACTCTAGTACAAGAGGTAACCAGCTGAAGTTAACCGTTATTTGAACGTCAATTTTGCGATTTTTATTGTGCGAAAATCAGTGAAGCTTAAAATTGTGCGAAAGGAAAAGTTTTAAAGATAAATCTGTTTTTTAAAATGGAAAATAATCGTGAAGGTGTGTATAACAATGTGTATAAGTGCAAAAACAATACAAGCAATATATATTTAAAATTTCGCAGTAGTTATGTGCTAGTTAAAATTATGTGGGTTTAAAAATGTTGCTCGGGTTTGGTAAAGTAGAAGTTGTGGGGTCCGACTGGGTCCGATATGAAAATTATTGGAGAGAAAAGTGTGTTGTTTTTCCTTTAATTTTGTGTATATATCTTTTGCATGAGTTTGCCCATAGCTAAGTTATCAAACATTTTCAGAGCATATCAAGATCAAAAACGGAGAAATGTTTAATGTGTGGGTGGAAAATAATAAGCAACAAAAAGCTGTTTTCGATTGGATTATGCGAAAATTCAATAGTCGACCTAATGAAGAGAAGGTGAAAGAAATAAATTTAAAAATTAAGAGTTTCTGCTCACACGCAACCCAAAAATGGAAGAAAAATAATCGAAGTTTAGAAAATATGATGAAGTACGACAGTCGCTGGCTAGGAATGGATAATGTATTTGCATTGTCCAATGTTTCACATAAAGGTCGACCTACAGTGAGTTATTCTGAAGGAAGTGAGAAAGCTCATTTAGACGAGGAAATATCTTTATTAACTCCTTTTCAATGGACACTAGAAGGTGAAAGAAAAATTAATGTGAATTTTGAGCTTAATCTAACACTTATTGATGGCAAAGTTTTAAACGTGTTAACAAATACAAAATCTTCGCAGTCGTGTCCAATTTGTGGTGCGAATCCAAAACAATTCATGTCTGTTAAAGACATTGATTCGTCAATATTTCAACCAAAAGAAACTTCTCTGAAGTATGGTATAAGTCCCCTGCATGCATGGATTAGGTGCTTGGAATTTATTTTACATCTTTCCTACCGTATAGACTTAAAAAAATGGCAGATAAGAAGTCAAGAGGATAAAGAAGTGTTAAAGCAAAAGAAATCTGAAATACAAGAAAAGTTCTGGAAACACATGGGCTTACGCGTCGATAAGCCGAAAGCGAACGGTAGCGGAAACACTAACGATGGCAACTCAGCTCGTCGAGCTATCTCTGATCCAGAAATGCTTGCAAAGATTACTTCTATCGACAAAACGTTTTTGAAAAATTTAAAAACTATTTTAATTTGTATATCTTGTGAATTCCAAATTGATGTGGAACTTTTTTTTTGCTTTTGTAAGAGAACATTCGATATATATATGGAAAAATACGACTGGTATGCTATGTCAGCCACGTTACATAAAATTTTGGTTCACTCCGCTCAAATTATGCAATCATCTAGTGTACCACTAGGCTGTCTAGGGGAAAATGCTTCAGAAAGCCGTAACAAATGCTATAAAAGAGATCGCGTGTCGCATGCCAGAAAAAATAGCAGGGAGAATAATATGAAAGATGTCTTTGATAGAGCTATGGATTCATCTGATCCCCTTTTATCTAGTATGCACTTGTCAAAGAGGATTTATTCAACAAAAAAACAAACATTTCCACCGGAAGTAGTTGCACTTTTGAAATCTCCTCCTAATGAGTTTGACGATGATAAGCCTACAACATCACGACAGGCATTAGAAGAATTCGATGAAATATGTTCCGACGATAATGAAGATATGGACGACAGTACTTGCTTCTCGATTGAACTAGAGGAAGAAGAAGAATCGTGGGATTAGATAAAGGTGAGACTCTACCTGACACACAAAAAACAACAATTTGCTATGCTTTTAGTAGGTACTCACTCAAAAATGGAACAACAAAAATAAACTAGACTAATACTTTTAAATATAATATCAATCTTTTTGAATAAATTCTTTTTGAATGGCCTTAAGTGTTTCATTTTATTTAAAATACAACTAAATTAGCGATATCTCGAAAAAAAACCGGATTCATGGAATGATTTTAAGTAGAAATATGTAGGTCAAAAAAGTTCTTAAATAATATACATACCTACTCGTAAGTATGATTTAAAAAAAGGCGTGGCAGTGGTTAAATCCCGCCCATTTTTTTGTCAGAGTTTTAGGGGGGTGCCAGATTAATGTGTGCAAATTTTCAAGCTTCTATCTCCTTTGGTTGATTTTTGGCCGCAGAACATGGTCATTTAAACCATAGTGCGTTGGTAGAAGTCAATTCTGCAGAGCTGTTGTAAACTGTTGCGTTAACTCTTCCCCCTTTAAATATGATCGTCCTGGATCATTAGTAGAATGGTAAGTTGTTGAGATTTACGTATGTTGGAATGTGGTTTGTTTCGCTTGACCGATTGACTTCCAGGCTTGTGCTGGGCTTCACTATTTCTTTTCCCACATATTGGATTTTCACGGATCGTTTCCTTAGGAAAGAAGAAGTACTATGCTTATTAAGAATGCTGCCGTAGTTAGACTTCCGACAGAGAAGGTTGCCTTTTTGAGGGAATTTATTCGATGGGTATTGTTGATATGCAGGTCCTTCAAGGCTTCTAGGGAAAGTAGTTCTATGTGGTCCTTTTTCAACGGGTTTGGCTGTAGTATTGCAGGGAGGGTTTCGATTGGCTTTATTTCAATATTGCTGAATGTTTGACTGTTGATTTTAATTGTTGAATTGTAGAATATTATCACGTGTGTTCCGTTTACTTCTTGGGATGTCTCGTCGGCTTCTAGTTTGCCGTTGAACTGGTTTAGCAATATTACTCCTGGTTTTATTTCTTCTAGCGTAGGGACGTGATGGCCGTTGGTTGTCGAACATGTTGAGTTTAAACTATTAATTATCCTAGTTACACATAAATCTTTACTTAAATCTACCAAATGAGTTTACTTGCAAATTGTTACATCATTATAGCTTTCGCATTTATTTTTTATTGCAAACAGTGTATATTTTCCTTTCATTATTTCATTATACTCAGTTTTAATTACAATATTTTTTATCCTTTTTACAGGTCGTTTAATAATTCTTCTAAATATTTCTTTTAATGTTAGGGGTATTTTTACCATGTATACAATTTGCATATTTTGGCTAAATACATTTACTTTTGACAGTTCTAGTGCTTCTGCGGCACTTTTAAATGGTACTTCGTCTTCTCTTAATTTACTAATTGACAATTCTATTTCTTCCTTGCTTAACATTACTGAATTTATTATATTATGCTTTGCCCATTGAACGGCATACCTTATATTAATTAGCTCTTCCTTAATTAGCCTGATTCTATTTTGCAAATTTATTAAAATTTCCGTTAGAACATTGTCGTCCTTCCTTATCGTGTTTAACATTTTTTTTACTATATAAGTTATGTTATTTATGCGTTTCTCGAATAACTGGTGAATTACTATTTGGTTATTGTTGTTCTCATTGAAGCTATTTAAGTTGTTTGTTATTATATTTAAATCTTCATGATCAGGAGATCCGGCTAAGTACTTCCATGCCGTTCCCAATATATCAATTGATCTTTTCATCACATTTACGTTAGAAGGCTTTAGGGTATTCAAGATTTCAAAGGTTTGGGCGGTTTCATGTTTTAGGATAGGATATAGGAAGTGGTCATTAGGGATTTGGTTGGCTATCTCGTTATAGGTCTCTGTCGAAAATCGTTCGTATTTTGCTAAGTCGATGAGATGAATAAGTCTGAATGTGCCGTCTTGTATTTTCGCTTGTCCATTGTCTATTGTCATCAGTTGCGCTTTATTATAGTCCAAAATTTTAACGTCCGTTAGGGAGGTTGTGATTGTGGCACAAATAATTAGAAGTTCGAAATAGCCCATTTTTCCTGAAAAAGATTGTTCAAGTTTTTATTAGTGCTTTATGAATTATTCGTCCCGATACAGTTTTTACGGTGGTTTTATTATTTTCAGATACTATTTCTTTCTTATATTTCGGAGTTAATTTTGAACCAAGTCTTTTATTTATTTTTACATAAATTACATCCCCTGGGGAGTAATTTCACTATGCGACAGTCAAAATTGGGATGGGATGAAACCAACGGGAAATGTTATATCGGTCAAAAACAAGTTATACGTGGCCCGGCGTTTCGCTGGGTCACGTCTAGGAATCGAGATATATCGATTTGAAGTTAGTAACTATCATATAGGGGAAATTGTCACCTTTGGTGGTCTTTTTTTTGACATAACTCGAGAACCACTAGTCCGATTTTGCTCAAACAAATTTAAAAAAATTAAAAATTACAATTCCCTTAATCTGTTGATATAACGTTTTTCTATATACTCAACAGTTTTGCCGGTAAAAATAAATGTATGGAGAAAAAAAAAATATTTTTGCCTAAAAATTAAAATTTTTATGTTTAATTTATAAAAAATCCAAAACGGAAAAAGTGTCACGTAAAGTCACATAACCTATGAAGAAAATGAGACATACATCATGAAAATCAATGTATGTGTTTCGCTTTTATTCAAAATTAAGTAAAGGTATGAATTTTAAAAATTTGCTCGAGATATGCTCAAAATTCCTTGGAAGAAACATTGATGACTTTTTTATGATTGTCTGAATTAAAAAAAAAGTAATAAACAAAAGGTTATTTGATTTTTATGGTAGCGGTAACAAACTAAAAAACGGTCATAAATGTGCGTGGACAATTAAAAGGAAAAAAGGAAAGTGCACTTTTTTAATTATTTGGGTTTTTTCCGTTGGCTACCTGCATGATTTTTTTACACAAATTGCACCCACATTTATGAGTGGCCATGTTTTAGAACGTTTCGAAAAATTTAAAACGCACACGAATCAGGTATATAGCCACCCTTAAAAGATGCGCCAATTCATAAGTACCTCTCAGTAAAATATTGAAACTTACGTAGTATTTATAGGTGTTCATTGATCGATTTTTGTCATTCAACAAGTGTCTCCGAACGCGTAAAGTACGATTTTTTTAAAGTGACGAAAAAGTAATAAACATATAAAACCGAAATGAGTGCAAATTGTCCAGAAAATATCAATTTATTTTGTTACGTTTGTGGCAAAAGAGCTTTTTCAACAAATACTGCATTACTCACTGAGCAAGGGGAGCGCGCTTTTAAACTTTATTTTGATTCCGAAATAGTTCGCGGCGTTTCGTGGGTCCCAGACAAAATTTGTAAAACGTGCTACAATGGTCTTAACATGTGGATCCAAGGGAAACACAGTTCACTTCGTTTTGGTGTACCAATGATTTGGACTGATCCAGGAGAGCACAATTCCGACAAATGGACAAGATTGTTGCAGAATTAAACCTTTCTCAACGTGAAGCAGAAAAACTTGCCCAGCTTTTGAAAGAAGGCAACAATTTGGAGCCTAATGTCAAAGTCACCGGATATCGAAGACGACAATTGCTATTCCAACGGTACTACACACTCAACGAAGGGAACACATTTGTTTACTGCCACGATATAAAGGGACTGATGGAGACGATGGCCATTAATTATGTCGCAGCTGATTGGCGAATGTTCATCGATTCTTCGAAATCAAGCCTGAAAGTCGTTTTGCTACATAAATATAATAAAAAACCAAGCATTCCCATTGGCTACAGCACAGACATGAGCGAAACATACGATTCCATGAAAAAAATTTTGGATAAAGTTTGCTACACTGATCACATGTGGCGGATCAGTTGTGATCTGAAAGTCGTGGCGATGCTAAGAGGTCTCCAAGGAGGCTATACGAAAAACATGTGTTTCTTGTGTCTTTGGGATACCCGATTTAAAGGAAACCAATACGAAACGCATGACTGGCTTGCTCGAGATCCTACGGAGAAAGGACACAACTGCGTAAATGATCCACTGGTGCCAATGGAGAACGTCCTCAAACTGGGAATCGTAAGAAATTTCATCAAGGCCATTGTGAAGCAACCGAAAATTCTTGATTGTTTGAAAAATATTTTCCCACCAATCAGCGAAGCAAAATTGAAGGAAGGTGTTCTGAATGGGCCGGATATACGAAAGCTCATGAAATCAAAGGAATTTAAAGGTGCTTTAGACGGTAATGATTACTTTGCGTGGAGGGCAGTGAAGAAAGTCATACGATATTTTTTGGGAAGTACGCGAGAACACAATTACCCCGCTCTTGTGACCAAGATGTTGCACTATTTCCAGAAAATTGGAGTGAATATGTCCCTCAAAATTCACTTCTTGCATCACCATCTCGAATACTTCAGCAAGCAGCTAGCCTCAGAGTCGGATGAACATGGCGAGCGCTTCCATCAAGTGGCAATGCCAATGGAAACGCGATATAAAGGCAAAAGGCTCGATTCGCTGGTGGCTGAAATTTTTTGGTGGTCGCAAAAGACGTACGATCCCGACAATGAAGATGAAGAAGAAGAATATACAATGGGAGTTTCCTCCCCATAATATATTATAATAAAATAATATATTATTTATATAATTCTATATAAATACTTACATGTATACATATATTTATCTTAAAATTCTACACATTTTAGACGAATGACTGGTTTGATGTGCTCAACGTTAGGGTGCCTCACGCTGATTCCAGAAAGCGGTGTTACGCTTATGGCTTAGCAAAGGAGGAGCAGGACAAAATTTTGGACGAGATGACTGCTTTAATGAAGAATATGCGAGTAATGGGAAAGTACTCTCTTCTTCCATTTCAGAAAGGTAAGCTCAAACTTATCTAAATATCACAGTGCATTCTTGTCAAAATGAGATACCTTCACTTAATTGTGAATAAAAGCGAAACGCGTCCATCGGTTTTCATGATCTATGTCTCATTTTGCTTAAAGGTTACGTGACTTTGCGTGAAAGTAATACGACTTGCCTTTTTTCCGTTTTGGATTTTTTATGAATTTAAAAAATAAAAAAATTTAATATTTTA